AGTATATTTGGGAAATCCCTCAAGGTTTCGAGGATAATCGTAACAATATGAAATATTACACTGTGAGACAAATGGTAGGGGTCAGTGATCGGGAAGGGTTCAAACTACCGGGGAAAGTTATATCGGTAAAAAAGAAGTTATACGTGTCCCGGCGTTTCGCTGGGTCACGTCTAGGAATCGAGATATATCGATTTGAAGTTAGGGGAAATTGTCACCTTTGGTGGTCTTTTTTTTGACATAACTCGAGAACCACTAGTCCGATTTTGCTCAAACAAATTTAAAAAAATTAAAAATTACAATTCCTTTAATCTGTTTATATAACGTTTTTCTATATAATCAACAGTTTTGCTGGTAAAAATAAATGTATGAAGAAAAAAAATATTTTTTATTTTTTAAATTCATAAAAAATCCAAAACGGAAAAAGGCAAGTCGTATTACTTTCACGCAAAGTCACATAACCTTTAAGCAAAATGAGACATAGATCATGAAAATCGATCGACGCGTTTCGCTTTTATTCACAATTAAGTGAAGGTATCTCATTTTGACAAGAATATTGATTTTATGTTTCAATGAATTTGGATAATATTTATTATATATTTTACGTGACACTTTTTTCCGTTTTGGATCATATAAATCATGAAATATATAAATTTTTTAAACAAAACTTTCCGCGAAAAAACAAGTCATTTTTTAGCATAAAGAAATCAACCGACTTCAGCGAGCAAATAAAAAATTTGGAGTACCGTTAGTCTGAACTAAATAAAAATTAAACAGTTTTTCTTGGTCAAATATTTAAAGTAAACTTTTTGCTTATCGCGAATTCCATGTAAACAAATATTTTCAAAAATTATAAAGCAGAACAAAAACTATTTTTTTATTTTTATTTTGCCTATTAATCAGGGGAAGCTTTTATTCACATGGAATTGGCGAAAAGCAGGTTGTGAGAATCGGATAATCCATCTTATTTCTAATCACAAGGTTTTGACACTAATGCCGTATATACACGGGACATTGAATAGCAAAAATTTTAAGGATAAATTTCGTTAAAAAAAAAAACACATTTTTTTTGCAATTACAATATCCATTGGAATTTTGTCGTTACTCTTGCCGAAAAAGCTTACGAGGTCGAGCTTACCACTCATTTGAAATGGTTTCGCTTCCAGTTATTTTTAAATTAAAAATTTCGCACGTAAATTTTATTTGCCATTACATAAAAAATTGCGCGCTTTTTCACATTTCACCACGAAATAATAACTTCTATAGTTTCAAGCTATTTCACAGTAAAAAGATACGAAATGGCGGCCAACACAAACATTCTCGCTAATTTTCTTTAAAACATTTCAACCCGTTTGCATGTGTGCGTGCATTTGAAAGCGATAACGAAAAAAAAAAATTTCAACAATTATTTTACGCTTTCAAATCAATTAAAAACATTCGTGACAAATGTTTTAATTTCGCGCTACATACATACATACATACAAATGTATGTAGATATAAATGTACAATATAAAAAATGCTGTGTGTAGAGAGTAAGTGTATGTATATGATGTATGAGTTTAAGAAAAAATATTTCCATGTATGTATATTCATATGTGGTTTATCATTGCTTTACGCACTTTTCCGCAATTTATATACTCCACAGCCGTTTCTCTAAAGAAAAAATACACGAAGTCGCCTTGTGTAAAAGAGCTAACAAAATTTGGCGCTGCAAAAGGAGAGAGAAAGAGAGTGAAAAAATTTATAACAATTTGTGAATGAATAATGCATGTGTTTATGTATGAGAAAAAATTATGTATTAATGTAAAAAATTTATGAAATATTGTTAATATAAATACATATATACAAACTGAAATGCATTTAATTAAAAGTTAACAGTTTTATATAACACACTTTTTGTTGAAAGTAGCAGTGGATGTTGGGAGATTTTTGTTTAAAAAAATTTATTATGGATTTTTTATAAGCTAATTTTTCTAGTATAAGATAATTTTGTTAGGGTATATATCAGGGATGGAAAATCAAATCTTCAAATTGTACTTTATTTGAGGAAAAAATTTTACCTAAAAGCTCACAAATGTACCTAAAAAAAAATAATATGTACAATATAAGACATTCAAATCACGTAAAATCTGTTTAGCAGTACGAACATACGACGGGAATCAGCCATGTTAGTTTTAAAAAGTACAAAAGTAAAATTTACCGATTTTAAGTACAATTTCAACATCGAAAATACTTTTTGTACCAAACGCTCAAATCTCTGCCAGCACTTTGATTCTTAATACGTTTGAATTTATGTGAAAGGTCATATTGTATTTCGTATTTGGTACAAAACGAAGTTTTGAATGTAAACGTGAATGTTAATGGTAATATTAGTGATGCGCGTTATGGTGATTTCGATTTTTTTTTTATCGCCGGCGGGTGAAATATCTCTCACCGTTATTTAAAGCAAATTCACATTATCGTATTTTACGGTCCATGATTTATAAGCAAAATTTGCTAAGATTCCGGTTATTTCGCCTTGTAAAATCTTTTAGTAAATTAAAGATAAATTAGATAATTTATCATAAATCAAGTGGAGAAAAATATGGAACCTTAAAGTACAGACCGGCTAAGTATTGCATGGAACTCGGTGTATGCTTGAAGAATGTAGAAATTTCTCCCGATAAAACGTGATTGGAACCGCAAATTATATTGTCGTGGTTATAACTTCAAAAAAAAAAAACAAACGAATTAAATCGGGCCTACTTATATTATTCACATGATTGCTTATAAATATCATTAATTGAAGGACTACTTTAAAATAAATACAATGAGTAGGTGTTTCGAATTTCGATAATTTTTTTTACTCAAAGAAACAATTTGTGTCTTGGAGTATGAAAAAGCATCTGTGAAGTGCAGAACGCAAACGTTTAAAAAAAAAAAACATACTGCCTTGGAAGTTGTTTAAACGCAATTCATTTTAAAGTAGCTGAAATTAAATACGGAGTTGGACAGTCGACTTGCTGCTTACACATAATTCAAACTGAAAATTTACATGTCTGGCTGTAGCTGAGCGTGCAAAGATGTTTGCTACAATTGGTTGCGGCCATGAGTGTCCATGTTCAAATCTCATTAGGCGAAACATTTAATTATAAATTTTTTTAAATTCGAATTTTCTTAATTATGAAAAAGCATCTGTGAAGTGCAGAACGAAAGCAAATTCAAACGATTGACCTTAAAGTTGTTTAATCCAAATGCATTTTAAATTAGTTGAAAATAATAGTTTTTTTATCAAACCCCGAACTATCATTACCAAAGTAAAAATTAAATTTGTTGGGTTCTTGCCCGATGCCTAGGCGTTCTTTCGGGGAAAAATTTTACAAATTTAAAATTTTGTTTGGGCTCTATATTCAGGCATGTAATGTAAATGAACTGCATCTTCGTTGGACGTTACGAAGCAAACGAAATCAAAATATTATACTTTGTATTTTAGTTAAAAAACAAAACAAAAAAAAAAAACAGTCGAAAAGGCTTTAATTTACAGAGTAGATGGGCGTGGTGTTTTTGTTTAAACTCAATTTGCCAATCCTTTTACTGATGCCAGAAAAGGACTAGATTAAACCAACAAAAGCATACCATTGATTTTAATTCTGCTATATAACACTTTTGGTGTTAGATACTGCATCCTTAATTCAGAAGACAATTGTAGAGGCGCTTTGAAAAATCAAGGAAATCTCACTGCTTACCACTTTAATAGCCGGGAAGAACAACTGCCAATCATCACTGAGATTTTCTGACATGCAAACTTCGAAAACATCCAATTTCAAATATTCTCCATTTAGCTTACGTCCTATAAATAGGACGAACTCGGAAAAATTACGACTTTGCTTCGTTATAAACGTTTTTACAGCTCCTGTAGTGCAAATGGTGCCTTATTTTGCTAGTATATTCAAGAACAAGATGCTAAAATATACGACAAATGTTAAAAAAAACGTCCTTTATATTTCTTCTGCAAGAATTATACGTAAATACTATCTCAACTGCTCTGGTCAAACATCTTTGCATTTCCTTTAGTTTTATGTATGACAGATCGCCTGCAAAGTCCTGGATTCGTGAAGCCCTCCATTTATGAACTTTTTGCAGTTGAAGGTGCGCCTGCTTCACCAGTTCTCGCTCTGTTATGGTTCTAATTATCCTTTAATTTTTTAAAAAGGTTTTAAGTGCAATTTTAATAACTTTTCTATACACATAAGGAGGCCATGCCTTCTTGTGCCTATACAAGTGCATCAAAATATTAAGCATAATTTTTGCGTAGTTTGACAAAAAGTAGAATCAAGTTCAAATTAATTAGCACGTTTTCTTAATTGTCACCACTTTTCATCGAAATTAATCATTCTTCAAAATGAGATCAAAAAGAAACCTTTCTGATGCCCACAAGTCCAGGTATAAAGCTTAGATCTTGATGAAAATATGTGTACCTATTCAAGTGAATCGGGCTGTATTATAATTAAGATATGCAACGATTGATGGAATTGGGAAGCCAATATAGACTATTCAACTGCTTTGAACATTATTTTTACTTGCTCAAGCTCATAGCAAATAGTAAATATGATTAAAGGCATGAAATTGACACATAAATAGCTATAAAGGACTAAGTAAGCTTATATACGCATGTATGCATAAATAGATGTGTGTATGATAACACCGTGCGACAAAAACCAAAAAATTTAAAATACTCGAAACAATCAATATAGATGCGAAACTATCGGCCGCATATAGTGAAACTGCGTTTTCTAGTTTTTCTCTCTGGTGTCAGGATTTTTTTTAAAGTACTTTCAAATTTCAAAAATATGAATGATTTAAAAAATAATTAAAAAAAAAAAAATCAGTGCAATATAGAATAATAATATAGGTATAAAATGAAAGATAAAATTCTGTAGAATTAAAAAAATTAAGATTTTTGGCAAACAAGGACGCATAGGTATTGAAGATGTAATTTTGATTAATTAAATTTTTTTAAGCTAATAAAAGTAGATGGGCGAGATTCGAGGCTGTGGTCGTATGTATATTAGTCTTTAAAATAAAATCTTTCAAAAACAAATATTATAAATTTTCAAGGATATTCACGGATAAATTTTTTATAGGACTTTTTCACTACCTACCTATTCGTTCTTCTGAACCCAAAAATTTAAACTTTTTTAATTCTATAGAGAAAGTAGTTTTACTATTTTTGGCTTTTAGTTTTGAGCATAAATTTATTTTTGTGTGTGTAAAATTGTTGCAAGGTGTCATATTGAGTACATATATAACTCCTTGACTGTAGTTAAGTAGTCAACTATTCAGTCATTCAGCCAGTAAGTCAGTCAGTAAGGCAGTTAGCCGTAAATATGTAGCTGAGAACCTAGAGAACCCCCGCTCTTTCTTATTACCAAAAATAGTACAACCCACAGAAAAGCCAACCAACAATTGGCCAACATCACTGCTACCGCAACCGTAATGCAATTACGATTTGCTATAAACAACAACAAAATGAATACAAAGTTTCATTGTCCAGCAGTAAACTTACCATTGAGGCTTAGGCTGTCGTATTGCTCCGTCTGTAGAGGCTCACGATAGATAATCGGATCACTGCCGCTGAAATCGGCCACAGTGCCAGAGTATAGCTCGTTATCTGTAATAAAAGAAAATGGAAGACAGAGAAATTGGGTATGAGTGGATGTGAGTGCACTAAATATTGTATAAATAAATAAGCAGAACGCGGTGAAATAAACGATTTGAGCGATGAGTGGATAGCGTCGTAATGATATACTCAGCGGCCGTGGGGGAATATAAAGATGGAATTAGTGTAGAGCAAAAACACGAATAAAGAGAATATAAAATGAAAAAAAATAACACCAAAACCAAAGAAAATACAAGAAAAACACTTCAATAGCCAACACAAAAAAAATAAAAATAAAAATAAAAATAAAAAAACAATTTAAATAGTGGCAGTAACGAGAGGATTTGCAGGACATGCAAATAATGCACAACAAGCGGATTGGGAAGGCATAAAAATATAATCGAAATTATAGCAATAGGATACAGATGGAACAGGACTACAAAATGGTAATGGTTAAAAAAAA